GTTAAAGTCTGTTTAAGGAAATTTAAATTAAAATGACTCAAAATGGGTGACGCAGTGGCGCAGTTGGTAGTGCTGTCGCCTCACAGCAAGAAGGTTGCTGGTTCGAGCCGTGGCTGGGTCAGTTGGCGTTTCAGTGTGGAGTTTGCACACGTGGGTTTCCTCCGGGTGCTCCCGTTTCCCCTACAGTCCAAAGACATGTGGTGCAGGTGAATTGGGTAAGCTAACTCGTCCGTAGTGTATGAGTGTAAATGAGTGTGTATGGATGTTTCCCAGAGATGGGTTGCAGCTGGAAGGGCATCTGCTGTGTAAAACACATGCTGGATAAGTTGGCGGTTCATTCCGCTGTGGCGACCCCGGATTAATAAAGGGACTGAGCTGAAAAGAAAATGAATGAATGAAAGACTCAAAATGATTCAAATAAAAATAAGGCAACAATGTAATGTGTCTACAGTGTGCTGGTGAAGCTTGGTTGTAAAACGGATGAGTTTCAATCATTGAAATACATGTTTTTGTAGTCTCATACACTCTATGATATGATTTTTGCTTCTTGTTCAATCTGGACATTTTGGGGGGAAACTTAAGGTTTTTATGTTCAATATACTTAAATTAGTTACGTTAATATAATGGTTTTGTATTGGATAAACTATACTTATTTAAAATAAGGTGAATTCACGCAATTATTATTATTATTTATATATATATATATATATATATATATATATATATATATATATATATATATATATATATATATATATATATATATATGAAGTCAGAATTATTAGCCCCCTTTTGATTTGGATTGTCTTTTTTAAATATTTCCCAAATGATGTTTAACAGAGCAAGGAAATTTTCACAGTATATCTGATAATATTTTTTCTTCTGGAGAAAGTATTGTTTGTTTTATTTCAGCTAGAATAAAAGCAGTTATTAATTTTTTTAAAAACATTTTTGGGACAAAATTATTAGCCCCTTTAAGCTAATTTTTTTTTTAGATAATCTACAGAACAAACCACTGTTATACAATAACTTACCTAGTTACCCTAACCTGCCTAGTTAACCTAATTAACCTAGTTAAGCCTTTAAATGTCACTTTAAGCTGTATAGAAGTGTCTTGAAAAATATCAAGTAAAATATTATTTACTGTCATTATGACAAAGAGAAAATAAATATGTTATTAGAAATACATTTTTAAAACTATTATGATTAGAAATGTGCTGAAACAATCTTTCCTCCATTAAACAGAAATTGGGGGGAAAAATAAACAGGGGCGCTAATAATTCAGGGGGGCTAATAATTCTGACTTCAACTGTATATATATATATATACATATATATACTGTATATATACTGTATATATATATATATATATATATATATATATATATTTATATATATATATATATATAAATATCTTTTGGTGGATAAAACATAAAACTTTGTTTTATGTTCAATCTACTTCAAATTCTAAAAAATAATTGGTTATTAACTTAATTTGTGTTGGGACAACATAAAAGAATTACCTGGAACCCAGCATTATTTACACTGTGGTACTGCAAAAACTAAGGTTAGGTTACTTGATTTATACCCGAAGGTAGATTTGGTTTACAGTCAAGAGTCCTCATCTCATAACAGTGCCACACAAAGGAACTCACAAAATAACAACAACAACTGAACATTAAGACATAAAACGTAAACATAAAAACACTTATAAAGAATAAATAAATATAATCACTTCAAGTGCCCCCGCCCAAATAAATGTTTTAAATGTTCTAAAATATACAAGTCACCGAAACATCTCTGCTTTAGTCTATGCCTTATTTAAATGTCTAATGGCTGCTGGTATGAAGCTATTTTTTTATCATTTCATTCTGCAGCTTAATACTAGAGTCCTGCAACCAGAAGGAAGGAGCTGAAACTCTGAGTGTAGGGGATGATCAGAGTCACTTAAAATTTAATTTGTGATTCTCTTTAGTTGCCTGGTGTATACAGCCTCTAGATTGGCTAGTGACACCCCGGTTAGCTTACTGGACCACTTAACTATTTGATTAAGTGAGTTTTTGTTCTTGACAGAGAGATTCTCAAACCCATGACACCAAAGCAAAGGATAAAACAGATTCAAGAAAAGCATGGTAAAATAGAGTCATCATGTGTTTATCAATATGGATTGGAACAAAAGTCATGACAACTATTTTTTATGTTACTTTAACCTATTTTTACAAGGTAAACACGTTTCAACTATATGTTTTTAAATTATAAAACTTAAATGTTTTGATCAGTTTTACTAAAGTTGAGATGACTAGAAAAGTCAACTTTAAACAAGCATGCTCACCATGTAAATCACTACTACCTCATTTCAGAAGAGCTTATCATTCATACTGGAGAGTTGTGTGGTGATGATGGGATGGGCATCATCTAAAAAAGCCTGTGATTAAAATATTGCTTTTAAAGCACTTAAATGAGGCTGAGGTTATGAACCTGATAGAACAGTTTCTTGACCCTGCACCTCATCACCTGGCCAACAAACAGATAGCGTAAGCTAATTTGGCCAATAGCAATAAAGGTGGATGGCGGTGCCTCTCTGTCGCCATGAGGCTGTAAAGCGGGTGGGCTTCATGCTGACGCGCCCGCCAAGAGCCAACATGTTCAAGCCCAACCCAAATCCTCAGCGCCATAAAGCCAAGCTGGAAGGCAACCTTTGATCGCCAACACTCTCGAGAGAGAGGTACACGCAGACACCGAGAGTCATTCACGCATACACCTCTGAGCATACAGCTTACACAAAACAACTATATAAAGCCATAAACATCAAAGTGTTCGTATACTATTCCTATATGGCCTAGATCATGGCAGTTTAGATATTTTAAAAATTAACAAGCTAACTTTGAAAACAAAAGAAGAACAGGACTAAAGTCTGTTTTTTTTTTTTTTTTTTTGGGAGGGAGGGAGTAAGCACAAAAATGCACAAATTTATGGAAATATTCAAGTCAAGTAATGTGTTATTTTATGTCTTTACTTTAAATTTGAATATAAAACAAAACCTGTCAGTCATGTTCCTCAAATTTTACCGTAAATAATAGTAATAAAGTAAAGCAATAAACATCAGAAATGTACTTTTAGCCAGATTTTTTTCTTTATCTTAGCATTTTTTTTTTCAAATTATTGTTTTTTACCAGTTAAATCAACAACATTGTTTACAGTGTAAAGTGGAGATCAAAATGTTGAGGTCTTATATTATTTAAAGTGAAAGAGTGGCAAAAAACAAAAAAACAAGTAAAAAAAAAAACTCAGACGGCAGGTCGTCAAAAGGAAGATCAAATGGGTGAGCCTTTAATATGTTCCTATGTCCCAACACAAATCTACCAAGTTAGCTTAATCATTTTTTACAAATTTAAGTAGATTGAACATAAAACAATTGATTTACTCCCCCCAAAAATATAGGAATTGTGTTGCTTCAACTCATTTTAAATAAGTAGTTAGAACGATCACTCATTCATTCATTAATTTTTTTGTCGGCTTAGTCCCTTTATTAATCTGTGGTCGCCACAGCGGAATGAACCGCCAACTTATCCAGCAAGTGTTTACGCAGCGGATGCCCTTCCAGCCGCAACCCATCTCTGGGAAACATCCACACATACACACACACTCATACACTACGGACAATTTAGCCTACCAGATTCACCTGTACCACATGTCTTTGGACTGTGGGGGAAACCGGAGCACCCGGAGGAAACCCACACGAACGCAGGGAGAACATGCAAACTCCACACAGAAACGCCAACTGAGGATCGAACTAGCGACCTTCTTGCTGTGAGGCGAACGTGCTACCCACTGCGCCACTGCGTCGACTAGAACGATCATTCTCAAGTAATTTTTTTGAGTATTGCATCTGCCATCGGTCGCTTCAAATCTGCGATTTTAAGAATATTGCATCTTTACAGTCTCATTAACTCATTCAACTCCCCTAAAAAGGCTGGTCCCCAAAAGACAAATAGACGAAGAGATAAGATAATGTAGAGAATATGGGCAATGTTTTCAACACTGCTCATCAATTCAGCTTAAAGATCTGTAACGCAGCATACAGTGTCTCGAAGATAAAGAGAGTTAGGGATCAAACCTTCATCAGCAAAAATAATCATTAGGCTAGACTAATCTTTGCTGAGGAGCATGTTGTGCGAACAGAAAACTGGTCCAAAGTTCCCTTTAGTGATGAAAGCAAGTTTTGTTTATTTGGATCTGATGGGAAACATGTTGTTCGTCAAACTGGGAGAAGACAAAACCCAAAGTGTGTGCAGAAGTCAGGTTTGGGGGATTTTTGTTTAAGCAGCAGAAGGAAATCTTCTGTATTTCTTTTTTATTTTGTGGTATAGTTTTAAATGTCACATAAACGGCTTAAAGCATTAGCTCAGCCAAAAATAAAGATTCTGTTATTAATTACTTACAGTTCATATTATATTCCTAATTCCTAGTGCCAAAACCCTTAGACCTTCTCTATTGGGAACACAAATTATAGGTATTTTAGATTAAATCATGGAGGGCAAGAGTCTTATGACATTCAAAGTCCAGAAAATAAAATAAAAACAATGACAAAAAAATTCAATATGACTTCAGTGGTTCAACTGTAATCATTCAAAGCTCCAAAATCAATTCTGCGCCCACCAAAACATCAGTAAAAAGTAATATTTTTTTGTGTTTTTGCCACACTAAGGTGTTTTTGGAGCTTCATATAATTACAGTTGTACAATTGAAGTCAGATGGAATGTTTTGACAATGGTTTCGATTCCTTTTCATGACCCTTACTGTCCATGGATGATAAGACAGCTCTCGAACTTTATCTAGAATGTCTTAATTTGTGTTCAGAACATGAATGAGTAATTATGAGTAATTAACAACAAAAATTGTAACTTTTTGGGTGAACTAACCCTTAAACAATTTAGAATTTCCTGGACAACTAAACAAGTGCAGACACAAAGTAGATGTCGGTCAATTTTATATGCCATGAAACGATATAATTCCAATATATATCAACAAAATACATCAAATAAATTTAGGTTAACATATTCTGACAAAAAACAAAACACAGAATTTCGAAACAATTAATATAAACGTGTCCCTTTTCAAAATCGGCTGAAAAGCGGCGCGGGTCATTGCACTTCAGATCATCGGAGGAATACAATACAACATTGACAGAGTCTGGAATCAGCAAAGACAACAAGGAAACTTTTAAAAGGCCTCATCCAGGGAAAGTATGCGATCTCAAGTCATAACGACCATAAAGACGCATTCCCTGAAGGATAAAGGGAATTATGGGAGAGAGACTTGTGTGCCTCCACCATTCTTATCTCAACATAAATAATGTATCTTAAAAGGTAATCATTAACAACTAAGCCATGAAACGTTCAGTAGCCATAAAAAGCATGTTTTTTGTCCTCCCGATCATTGGAACTCAAGAACTGTTACAGAGGCGCTGCTTGTCATCCACCATATTTTTGGTGGAATTGCATGAATTGGCCGTGACATCATAGATATGCCACCATAAATCAAGGAGGAAAAGTAGCACAAATTACTGTCAATGTCTTGCTTTCCTAAGCACCGTCTGTCTACATTTGTGTAAAAGTCCTATTAGGTAGATTCAGTTAAAAGTCTTTTCTCCCATGCCAGAGAGGTTTCAGTGGAGGTCTCGGATCACGCTTGAGACAGAGCACACCAGGAGTTCTGTGGGGCGATCGACGTCGGGGTGTATGTGTAGTCTTCATATTTGATGTCCACATGGGCAGAACTGGCACTATCCAACTGTGTCGATGCCTTAGAAAGAGCACAGGGAAATGCTGTCAGCTGACAATGTATATTATCTTTAACAGTGGGTAAATGATAATAGACTTATTACATTGTTTCATACTTTCTTCAGTGGAACAGAAAATAGGATTTACTTTTTTTTTTTTTAATTCATGTACTCTTGTAATATTTTTTATCAAAGTAACATCCCCTTAATTTTCATTGACATCTCTCTAGTCTGATTATAGGCTTACTGGAATGAGGCAAATCTGTCAATCACAAAAGATCCACCAATAGGTAGCCACAATCATCTAATTAGTTCACAATGAATCAAATCAAGTTCTGTACTTCATCTTATAAACCTTTAAAGGCAGACTTTTGGTGAATTTTGAGGACGTTAATTGGGTGTACATATTTTTGTTGAATTAATCTCTTCCCAACAATTCAACTTTTTTTTTTATTAAAAAAAGAATTACAACAGACAATGTACACATGATACTGTATAGAATATTCCACCAATCAGAGAGGTCCAGCAAGCAATGCACCTGCCAAAATAATTGCCTGCCTGCTCCTATGATTATACATAATATAGTTATGGGCCTAATATAGGCCCTATCATACACTCAGTGCAATAAGGTGCAAGATGTCTTTGGCAAGATTTGTTGCTATTTCCAGACCAGCGCAACTCTAATTTTCACGTTTTGCGCCATGTTGTTTTATCAGCAAATATATATGCGCTACTTTGTGGACTTTTGGGTTCTTCAGTCTAAAAAGGAGGTGTGTTAAGGCGCATTGTTGGTGCATTGCTACTCTGAGGAACTGAAATAGACCGTGCCATTGACCAACTAAAAGCTGGTCTAAAGTCAAGCGCAGAGCAAGTTAGTTATGCGCTTATGCAGGTCCAAAGGCATACACACTGCTTAATACACACAGGATGTCCAGCAGTACAGAAATATATTTACATATAAAAAATGTAAGAATTCAAATAATAATAATAATAATTATATATATATATATATATATATATATATATATATATATATATATATATATATATATATATATATTTAAACCACTACCTCCACGCCTTCTTCATGCCTCCATGCCTTTTTTCAGTTCATTCATGGAAATTTGCATTTGTATAATGTTATTATTATTAGCAGTATTATTTATTATATGCATATACATATTTGTTTTAATAAAAGCAACTATAGATTCGTCCATCTGTTGGGTTTTGGAGATGTATGCATCACCATATGGGGCATAAGAATAGCACGTGTTGGTTATGTTAGGACTGCGTTGTTTTGTATTTCTGTGTTTTTGATTTGATTCTAGATTGGGGCGTGCCTTCAGCACACCTGATGCTGGTCAGCGCCCTTATTTAAACCCTGGCAGAGAGCTTGTCGGGGCCGCTGTCCATTCACTTGGCAGTTGGCCAGAGCTGCGCTCCAATTTGGGCATTATACTTTGTTTCGCATCCATACACTATCACTGACAACATTTACCGCATCCATAAACTTGCATTTCACACTGATTGAACATACTGATACTGATATTTTGATTATATAATTTGAATTGAGTTAAATAAATCTTTTTTGATTATACTTCGCCTTGTCGTCTCCCTTACTATGTTACATCCATGAGCCAGGTGTAACAGGCTATAACTCACACGTTGTTATTATTGTTAATTTATTCGTCTGCTGGAAATTAGAACTGAATTGAGAAATAATTTTGAAACAAATCCTTGCGCTTAACAAACTAAATTAAATATGTAGGCTAATGGATGTCTTCAGTAGAGTGTGTACAACACTGTTTCCTTATACACGAAAGTAAAGGAGTAAAGTAAAGCACAAAAGTAAAGAGGCAGAATGGAGGAGGCTCATTCTTCATCATCGTGCTGCAGATTTACTCGTTTTCTCACTAGTGAAGCATTCGGTTTTTCTACGTACAAAGTCCAACTTTTCAAAAGTGCAAATGACTCTTAAAGGCAATGGGAGATGAGTCTCTGATTGGTTCAATGAAACGGTATGATTAAAATACACCCATAACTCATGAGAACAACAAGCACATCCCTGTTAGACCATGCGCCAGGGCACAGAGCGTTTTTTTTTCATTGTTAAAATAGCAAGAGTAGATTCGGACACGCCCTTAATGCTTTTGTGCTATAAGCTTTAGACTTTGCACCTAGATCATCAAATTAAGCTCCCAGTGTGTTTGAAATAATTAAATAGTGCAAATGAATTTGATTGCAATCTTAATTGTTTCTCTTTTTAGAGCAATTAAGTGCACAATCTTATATTTTGTATACAATTTTCACATTCTTTGTTTTAAATTACTGTTTGCAATGTTGTTTTTCTTCATAGCTGGTCGACTTGATTCATGACTTATAATGCTTGAACAAAGACTTTAGAAAATCCTTACTGGGAAAAATACTTCCAGAGCCCATGTAAAAACTGGATAGCACTAATGTATATAATAATATATATGTTTATACATATATATCTGTATATGTGTCAACAGATGAAAGTTTTAAGATGTTTAAGGGTTCACATTGTTTAACTAATAATTGTAGAATATTTATTTTTCATAGCATGCTTAACTTAAGTCTGGAAGTCTGGCATCAATCATTTAGCCCACTCACATTTAAAGAGATAGTTCAACCAAAAAAAAATCTAATGTCTTCACCATTTGCTCACACTCAAATGGTTCTTCTTCCGTTAAACACAAAACAAGAGGTTCTGTAGAATGTTGGTAACCAGCAGCTGTTGACTCTTCTGCTTTCAAACATTCTTCAAAATACCTTCTTGTGTGTACATCAGAAAAATAAACTCCAATAGGTTTGGAGTGTGAATAAAGGATCTCTTTAATAGCTTACATGACGATCACAAGAGTACATACCTGTGTGACCGAGACAACGGTTTGGCCTGCATATGGAGAAGCTGCGATACTAGGTTCACTTTTTATTGTAGAGGCGTTTTCTGACACAGGCAGTGAAGTGGGAGACGTAGCGCCAGACACTGTTGACCCTGCCGACCAATAGAACAAAATGTGAATGACAGCCATAATAAAAAAACAGCAAACTCAACATGCGGGTTATTGCAAATGACAATTAATGGCGTCAAACATCCGTTCGTGTATGTGCCGGTGCTGCATACACACCACATGTTCATTGAAAGCAGAAAAAAGTTCTGTTATTGCTCTCTTTCTCTCTTTTACTCCCTTTCCCCTCCCTTTACCTTCTCGCTCACCCCATATTTCTCTCCACACATTCTCTGACTCACTCACTCCCACACTTCCATTCAAATCACTCATGTCTGCTTTCGTCTCAAAATTAATGTCTCTTTTAAAATGCTTTTGTCCACTCTTACCTGAGGATGATTTGGTTTTGGGCATCTTTGGTTTGCGTTTCCTTGTCTGAATGCTTTCTTTTTTCATAGCTAATGGCCTTGGTACCTAAAGCGAGAGAAAGGGGAAAAAGTACTGTAAATATACATGTATAAATGACTGATTAATTATTCAGTATTCGAATTAAAGTTACAAAAACAGAATAAAATGTGTTGGTGGGTCAATGATTATAAAGAGTGAACTTGCTTTCAGTATAGGTATTCATAGCTACTTGTAAAATGTTTGGCATAATTATGCATTTTTCAATGTTTTTTGCTCACCAAGGCTTTATTTATTTGTTCATAAATACTGTCAAATATGAAATATTGTGAAAAAGTATTACAGCTCAAAATATCTACATTATACTTGAATAGATTTAAATTTTTTTAAATGTATTACTGTGATGTCGATGCTAATTTTTCATTATCATCAATCCAGTCTTTAGCGCCATTTGATGCTTTAGAAATCATTCTCGTGTGATGATGAAGTGCTCGGTTATTATTGGGGCTAAATAATTAATAATGGTTCTCATTAGTATATATCGTAAAAAAAAAAAAAAAAAAAAATGTATATTGTATTTAACATTTTTTGTGGAGGCCTCGACAACATTTTGAGCATTCTTATGTTAATACAAAGTTTAAAAAAAAACATTAACTTGAAACAAAAATATTCTGTAACATTATCAAATTATCTCAACTTGAATCAACTAATGTGTTCTTATTGAATAAAAAGTATAATTTGATTGGTTTAAAATATCCCTAAAATAGTATCATGATTAAAAATATCTAATTATCTAATTATTATTGTTGTTATTATTATTATTTTTATTATATTCATTCATTCATTCATTTTCTTTTCAGCTTAGTACTTTTTATTAATCTAGAGTTGCCACAGCGGAATTAACCACCAACTCATCCAGCATATGTTTTCTGCAGCGGATGCGCTTCTAGCTGCATATTTTTATATATTATTATTATTATTATTATTATTATTATTATTATTATTATTATGTTTATTTCTATAGCACTTTTACAATGTAGATCAGGGGTCGACAATCTCGGTCCTGGAGGGCCGGTGTCCCTGCAGGGTTTAGCTTCAACTTGCTTCAACAAACCTGCCTGGGTGTTTCAAGTATACCAAGTAAGACCTTGATTAGCATGTTCAGGTGTGTTTGATTAGGGTTGGAGCTAAAATCTGCAGGACACCGGCCCTCCAGGAACAAGTTTGGTGACCACTTATGTAGATTGTGCCAGAGCAGCTTAACATAGAAAGTCTAGTAAATTGAAAGTGTGTCAGTCAAGTTTTCAGAATTGAAGTTCAGTTTAGTTCACTGTGGATTAAACAATAAATAATAATAATAATAATAATAATAATAATAATAATAATAATAATAATAATAATAATAATGTAATTATTATTTATTTCTATAGCACTTTCACAATGTAGATTGTGCCAAAGCAGCTTAACGTAGAAATTCTTATACATTGAAACTGTGTGATTCCAGTTTTCAAAATGGAAGTTCAGTTTAGTTCAGTTTAGTTCAGTGTGGATATGTAATAATAAATGTGTAATAATAAATGTGTAATAATAATGATAATAATAATAATAATAAACTTTTTTCAGTATTCATTACAAAAATGAATTGTTTTTGAGAAGCAAATCAGCATATAAGGATTTCTTAAAGATCATGTGACACTGAGGACAAGCATGATGATGCAGAAAATTCCGCTTTGCAGCGTTAACTTAAGCGTAAACTTAAAAGACTTCTTTCAAAAACCACAATAATTACAACTTTATAACAGCTAGTGCAGATTTAATTTATTTTCTTGTGAGTTTCTGAGTCATTTTGTCAGCTGTGAGAAGAGCTAGTTTAGAGAACAAAGCTTATTTAAGCAACTCCCCTTCCTCTCTCTCTTCTCATTCTCTTCCGATAAAACATACCTATGACCTTTGCATCACATGGTCTAAAGACACACACACACACACACACACACACACACACACACACACACACACACACACACACACACACACACACACACACACACACCACCACCATGCAGCCTCTCAAAATTCTTTGGTACCACAATAATGCAGACTAAATCCTGTTCTTACCCCATGAAGCTTCATGTAAAGTCCACATGCATTGCAGACTGGCTCTCCCTCTGCGTTTCTCCTCCACAGTGTTGTCGTACTAGTATGACAGTTAGTGCAACACAGACCTGCTCGTCGTGATGTGCTTTGCTGCAGAGAAGAACAGACAGAAGTTTGAGAGGGGATTAATTTGATAATTTTACAAAGCTGAAAGGAATTTTGAGACAGTAAATGAAATAAAGTTATTTAATAGAGGAATATAAGGACATGTCAAACCTTGATTAAAAATATATATTTATTTTAAAAGTTAATATGTGTTAAAGAATTGTAACATGACAACAAAGTCAATGAAGCAATTGATTTATGTTTTTTGAAATTATGTTCCTATAGAATATAATGCAGAGATGAATGTAATGTTATTGAGTTTTGTTTAAAATTAAAGTAAGAGTCATTAAAAAAATTAAAAGAAAAAGATGATAACTCTGTGACCAGAACTGTGTATTCCAGTCATTTAACACATCCAAGATTTATTTGACACGCAAAAAATATCAATAATCTTCCAGACCAAGAATGAACCTTCTCAGCTCACATGCACCATAAATTGGTGCTTGTTTTGAGTTTTTCGCTGCTTAGGCTAAAAACAGACCAACCCAAGGACAAGGTCATGAAGGCAAAAATGAAAAGAGAGAGAGATAGAGAACTAGAGAGAGACAGAAAGAGAGAGAGAGAGAGAGAGAGAGAGAGAGAGAGAGAGAAAGAGAGACTCATGGGAAACAGAACAGCAGTGAAGGTTTTGCGCAACTTCTGTCTTTATATCCTTCTAAAGAAATGACCATAAAAATGTTAAATCAACCCACTAACATGAGTATAAATATGCAGAATTGTTTTATTTTGTGAGACTACTTTGTTTGTAAGCATTATTTAATAGTAAAAACAACAATTTGCAAACAAGGTGGGAAACTTTAAGGAATTTTGCACATTGTAATAACTTTATCACGGTTTACAAGTTATTACAACTTACATAAATAAAAATAACTTAAAACATAACTTAAAAATTTGTATAACTTAAAAAATGTTGAAAACTGATCAACTTATTGAAATAAGATAAAAAAAAACATGTTGTCATGACTTTTAGATAATAAATAATTTATAATATATTATTTCTAAGCTCCTAAAAAGTATACTTTTAGCTTATTACTAATTATTCACAATGAGAAACAATAGTTTCCCATTGTCAGGGAATCTAAATAGTATTAACAGTAATAACATTCCTATGAATGAATCAATGTGACTATATTAAGTCCCTTCATTTATTATGGCTAGGTTTAAACAGGACAAGGTCATGTAAAGACTAAGCGTTATTAAAACACAATAATCAACAGCTGTGCGTTTACCAGGCGTTTCTGTGGTTTGATAAGAGGTCGATTGATGCCGTTCATCTTGTGGTAAAGGCCGCACGCGTTGCACAGGTAGTGTCCGGTTCCGTCTCTTCTCCACAGCGGCGTTGAGATTGAGCCGCAGTTCACACACTCGCGCCCTTCACACGGCAGGTCATCCAGCATGTCTGAAAGCAGACACGGAGAGTTTTTCATTAATTCCCCAAGGTTTTCTTTTGAGCTTGAAGTGATTTATGAAAGGACAATGTTGCTTAAATTCATAAAATACGGCGCAGGATCGTTTAAGTTTGAATGACGGGAGCGATGCGTAAAGAGATGTTTTCAAGGTGCGACTTGTACATTAGTATTGTTTTATTACTCTGAAAAACCAAATGTGACTAACCTCAAACGTTTACTCGAATGTTTGTTTCGCTTAATAGCTTATATTGAGAGAATTAAATTAATTAGACATCTGGCTATTTTTTATAAAAAGCCTATAGGCACCGTTAGCATTTTAAGAGATTAAATTAAATAAAATAAGGTCGTGTACGATTTTACACACCCACAGATGTGTCATATATAAACTAAAATCTAAATAACTTGATTTTTTTCAAAATTGTTTAAACATTGATGTCCTTTAAATTAATTTATTATATTAACATTTTATTGAAGAGGTGAAGAAAGAGATGACGCAAACGAAAATCTAAATATTAAGTAGGCCTATAAATAGCCTAATATTTAATTTAAATATAGCGCCTCTTTAGTTAGGCTACCCTTCCTCCATTTTATCCAATCATGTTTGCAATAACAAATTATTTAAACAATGATAGCCTATTAGGATATATAAATTGATCTTCAGTTCAATTCAAAGTGCTAATGTCTTCCAAGACTTTAACGAAAAGATAGGAAATTTTTAGGCATATGTATTTATTTGCAGACCTATGTATAACATAAAGTTTTGGAAGAACTCAGCATTTAAATTGATCCACATAGTCAAAACAGGCTTGGTGTTTCCCTGAGTATCAGGGGAATATGGAATGTGGCAAACGGAATGAAAAATAGATTAATACGAGCATATTCAGGGTCACTGGTGTGTCTATTAGGCGACCGACTAGGCACGAGGGCCTCAGGCGAGCGGAATGTCAATGGGGCTCTTATCAGTGTTAAAGATCCAGGGGTCACCGATCAATCAAGATCCTGACACGTGACGCCCTCCAACAATTTATTTAAAAAAAGATGCGTGAATTCATAATCTTTTATTAATAGATTTAGAGTAATCTCAAACTCTCTGAATTTGTGAGTGTTTCTGGTGGACTGCTATAATAATCTGGAATAACAGCTATCAACATTTTCGTAACGAAACATCTGAAACATGCAACTGCTAAATATCAAACGCTCAAGTCTTATGTAAGCCCGAATAAATCGTCCAGAGTTGTAGTAAGAAATGTGACATTTTATGGACTATCAAAGAAAATGTGTCCGCCTGAAGCACTAAACTTCAAAGCCTACGGCCGCTAAATGTGTATCTGGCTGTAATGGTCTGTTTAGAAAAGTTTGATCAAGGTGACAGTAGCTTGGATAGTTCTCACAATTATGAGGTGCGCACGGGCCCCTTTTATCAACGTGGACAGACAATAGTTGAGAATTAAATTAACATTTAAATTAAAGTGATTGCATTGCCCTATTAAAGGATGTGTATTAGTGCAATAAGATCAAGTTTTGTTTTGATTAGGTTTTGCAAAGTGCCCGAGTACCCTAACTGGTATTCTAGTGCCTTCTAAGTCTAACATAAACACTTAAGGAAAGCAATAAATAACCTTTAAAACCGCAGTAATAAATTGTAAGATCACAGCATCAAACGAAACCCCCTCCATTCCAACCATTTTTGCCTGCTGACTTGAAAGATGGATTTTAAACTATTTCCAAACTACCCAACTGCAAATTAGTAGTATTAAATTTAACATACGACGAAATAATTTCAAAGTGCGTTAAACAAAACGGTGCATATATAGTCAACCATCGTCAATATTTTAGAGTAGGTTACATATTTATATATCCAGACAGAAAAAAATGAGAAGGCAAAAACATGTTAAGATTTTTACCTATACTGGACCTCCTTCCCGGTAGAGTTCCCTGGCGTCCCTGAAGACCGATCATGCCGCCATCAAAGGGCCCAGGCGTCCATGAGGTTGCCATCTCCGGGCTCATGTAGGCCGCGTACGGGCTGGAATAAGAGCCACCGACGGAGCGCACCAGGGCACTTCCATATTGATCCGCACGGCCGCCGTTACTTAACATTAACGGGTTCTGGTACGCGGCGTCCCTGCCGGTGCTGCTGCTCACTGGCGGACTGTGCGAATAAGAGAAACCGGGCGGTGGATGAGGGCTACCGGGGTTGAACGAAGAGTTATCGGTGCCAGTCTGTGGCCAGGCGTGGTGACTGCTGATCCCATGGGCTTGGTGGCTGGACTCGCAAGTCTGTAGGTAGGGCAAGGTCTGGAGCATGGCTGGTACACGAGTGGTGGGTACATACACAGGTGAGCTGGCAGACGGATGGATGTAGTTCCCGGAATCGTGTGCGTAGGGGGACGGGTTGGAAGATAAAGCCAGGCTCGAATACATGATATATCCAGTGAATAAGCTAGATTTCGAAATCTCAAAATTCGCCCAGATTGTAGGCTAGTTAAAAACCTTGTTAACGTCCAAAATCTCCAAATGCGATGGTTTCCTGATCAGAGGCCACAGAAAATGAAATTCTTTCCTGATGACAAACCAAAAATCAAATTATTTTCTTAATATTAGATTGGTATTTTACAAATAATAATAATAATAATAATAATAATAATAATAATAATAATAATAATAATAATAAACAATGCAATATAGCCTAATAGTAGTTCTGATTGATTATAACAACGGAACAAAACCCAAATTATTTTAACACACTAATATTTCCTAACAACGTCTTTATATATTTTATGCTAATTATCAATTCTAACAATTTTAAACTATAAAATCTGAAGAAATAGGCTTGTTTCAGTGATTTGGCTAAAGTCAATTTTTTTTTTCATTTATCTTTGGATTTGCGTTTAACACTAAAATGGCATTAATTACTCTCCATATCTTTACGCATGAGATATATTTATCAGCAGCGGTTTTAGATATATTGGGAAAACTCTATCCCAAATCCATTAAATCATCCGCGGGAATCAAGCTGCATTGTAATCTCTTAACATCTATATTTTATCATCGAAAACACAGATTACATAAAAACGTTGATAGCTATAAGCAAAGGGCTTATACAATTTCATCCAAGAGCTCTCGTCGTATTATCTCACCAGATAAGGATGGTTGGTGATAAAGTCGGGAACCCTCTCTTCCAAGTGACTTGATTGAATATCGCCGTCGAGGTTCCCAGTCTCTTCTTTCTTCTTGATTTTAGCCCAGAATTCAAACTTCAGCGAAAATAAGCGACAGTCGAAAAACTTGTAGTTGTCCTCTCCGCGTTTGGGCTTGTCACCGAGGCTTGTCTGTATCTGGAGATAACTGCTGCTGCTGCAGATAATGCCTAATATAACTGTTCCCTGATTTGCTCTCTACTTTACTGCGAGTTATTTGTTAGAGCAGAACCACGTGACGCACTCCAAAGGTAGGACCCATGGAGGAGGAGAAGAATGAGGGGATAAACTAGATGGTGTGCGGCGGAGGAGGGGTGTGCTTCTACCTGTGAGATCTATATTTGCTGAGTCCACTGTATTTTAAACTGTCTTTCTTACTCGATTAAAGTTAACTTTTAAAGGACTTTACAAGCAACAGGACAATTGCATTGACCGAGGCACCAGTGCAAACACGATCTGTGAATACGCAATCGTATACTGTTCTGCTTGTTCAAAATAATTTAAAGAACCAGATAAATTTGTAACGCTACTGTGCACATTATGTTTACGGCAATAGCTTGGGATTTGTTTGCACTTTCTGGTAAAACATATATAAAAAATGTTGCTGTAAAATAACCACGCTGTCTGTGCGAGAACGTAAAGCCCAATTTTATGGCCCGATAAATCTGGATGTGTTCTCTATAAAAGCTGTAGAGAGATAAGAGATACGAGCGACAGCTTAGTATGATGATACAACAATAATCACGCTCATTATACTCAGTTGGAAATATTGTTATCTTAGCGGTATTGTTTGAGTTATCACCCCTCCCCTTTTCAGATAAAAATAGCTATTAGAGATTTAAAGATGTAAATAAATACATTAATTGCTCGAGATAATGTAAAGAGCAATAATAAATATCAAATTCTCAAATAAAAGCACAAACATTCAAACAATAATGGTGTGCCCAAAACGCTTTTTAACACATAAAAATAAATAAATATATTTACAAAGTAAATTAAAAAATAATAGGTATCACTTAACTTGGTGAGTGTCTTATTTCAATAACAGGATGCAATAATAAATCAAACCCCAAATTAAAACATTAGTTGCTGGAGATAATGTAAAGAGCAATAATAAATCTCAAATTCTCAAATAAAAGCACAAACATTAAAACAATAATGGTGTAGCGAAAACGCTTTTTAACACATAAAAAAAATAATAAATATATACAAAGTAAATAAAAAAATAATAGGTATCACTTTACTTGGTGAGTGTCTTTCTTATGCAATAACTGCATGCAATAATAAATCAAACCCCAAACAAGCATGTTACTCATTAGCCTACTGTAAAATAGCAACATTAAACAATTTAGCCTTTATAAATGTTAAATATGATGATAACAAAAATAACGAAATATTAATTTGCACATATCGAACTAGCATATACTTCTCTGATAGGCCTATTTTGTGACAAATTCAACTGATCAAAAGTTCCTCTTGAATTTTAAGAAGTGTCTCCTAAATTTCAGAAAGGTGGTCGCCAATCAGTCTCCTCGACAGACCGCTGATAATGAGATTAATAAGTGATGTTGCGACCTGTGAACTCATTGCTCGCGCCACAAACGCGTGGAGAGGACAATTGAACACACACACACCCTTGTCTGCAGTCACTGTTTGATCACTGGAGAACCTGCATGGTTACACGGCTTAGACAAATCCCCCTTTACCTTACAAAGCCGTTCAATCAAAAGCCGTCTTTGAGTAAATCGCCGCAGAGGGTTTCTTTTTCCACCTCCATTCAAAAATGTCAATAACTAGATCAATAGGCAAAAAACTTGAAGTATTATTATGGATTTGGGCTATTTATATTTTGCATTTCTTATTATTTTTTAGATTATGGGCTACTATCTCTTTGTCTATTTTTGAAGTCTAGCTATTAAAATGTCATCCATTCAATTATCCTAAACAGGAACGTGAAAGACGTCTGCATAGATAGACAACAAAAGCAAGGGCTTAATGATGCAGAAAAGAACTCTAAATTCTGTTCTGGGTGAACGGCCATGCGCAATGCCAAGTGTTTTACGCGCGTGTGTTTGTCTCAGTGTTATATTGCAGAAAAAAAACCCCAACACGAATTGGTAGGAGAAATCTCTTAACTTTTGTTTTTAAAGACGATACGGCGTCTTTCACCAGATCGGATTGCTGACACATGGATGATTTTACACTGTAGGCTAAATACAAATTCAAAGTAGCCTATAGGTTAAAAACGAATAATGTACATTACCATTGGTGCTTGTGCCGTGACAGAGTTTACTTGCATTTTGTGTTTTGGAAATTTAAGCATTAAAGTGATCAAAAACCGTTTAAGACACAGATTAAAAATAGATAAATCTGTAGACTACCATTATCTAAACATAATAAACAACTGCCTCAGCATACAAATCTGTTTGTAAGTAATAATTCGATAGATTGTCTTCAAAGATAAATATTGGCAGAAGCGATATTGGATGACGTCAGAGACTGGAGCAAAGTTGATTCCATTACAGATTAATTATTTTTTATTAACTGATGAATGACCACGAGCTTAATTTTGTCTATTTCATATACCGCTCAAACGTGTCTAAATTTACAGTTAGAAATCCTATTTGACAGCTAGAAATTATTCTCAAAATCTTAAACGAGGTAGAATAAAATGACATTGAACGGCCTATAGCAAATGAATGTTGGTAAATTCATAATTAAAATAAATTGGTTCATAAATTAAAATTATCAAATGGTGACCTGTTTGTTGCAGGTCACACCGACGATCTGAACATTATGTTATTCAATAAATGTTCCTACTTGTTTCTATCATAACATTTCTTTATAATAATAATAAAAAAAATAAAATAATAATAATAATAATAATAATAATAATAATAATAATAATAATAATAATAGCCTTATAATAATAATAATAATAATAATAATAATAATAATAATAATAATAATAATAATAATAATACCCTAACAATAATAATAAAATCTGAGGAAAGAAAGTTCAAAATAATTCTTAAACATAAGTGGGGAAATTACGTGATAACAAATCCAGGCTGAATAAACTGTGACGAAATACATTTTGAAAAGGCGCTGCATATTTGCAGCCATTGTTACGCGGCCTATACCGCTTTCATTACATTTTTATTACATGTTCGATGTTACAAACATGTCATCAACTACAGCTAGCATGGTGACTTTGGTGAGGATTATTTACATAACCAGAGACTGACCGGGGGATCTGGTTGATGGACAGCTAATGAGGCTCGCGCGGAGAGGCCCTCACGAGGCACCTCATTCATATCAGCCGTCCCGTCCTGAGAGACAGGCATTAAACCCAGCCTTAACCTCCTGCGTTTAGTAGCCGCTGAAACACTCAGGATGAACCTCTTCCACATCGGGGAAGGGATCAGCGGGATATTAATAATGCTCAATGCGTCTTAATCACCACGCCAGAGACACCCGTTGCAACCACTATTAAAAAAAACTGCATTTGCTCTTCTTACTGTACTTTTATGATTAGATACGGTATGCTCGCTATTCTCGACCAACACTATAAATGTTGTTTTACACTAAAAAAAAGATTAATTGGTGCTTGTAAACAATTTATATGGGCTGAATTTAAACAAACGCATTAAATTTAGAAATGTTCAACTTAAATTGTTTGTTTAAATTCAACATATAAATGCTTGCAAACACTTCCCTTAAGCAAATGTAGTAAACCAATTAATATGTTTTTCTTTCAGTTTACTATTACGTCGATTTAAGCATATACGACGTATGAAAACACTGCACTTACATGGTTTTAAAGAACAAACCTCTACTTCTAATTATCGTTGCACACTAGTATATTATGTATGAATGTAGATTAATGACGCAGGTCAATAGCGACAGCAAATGCATTAATAGTATTATCAAAGATTTATTATTATTATAATTTATCATATTATAAATGTTTACTTTATTTTTAATCAGTAAATCATTGAAAATGTAGTAGGGTTTCCCCAAAAAAGACCGGTCAAAAGATTGAAACTGTAATGAAGCTTTAAATTTATTTGCTGTACATTTGGTTCAATTTGACTTTTCCGTGTAAATAGATATATACACTACCGGTCAACAGTTTGGGGTCAGGTTTTTTATACATTTATTTATTTTTTTTATTTAATTATTTATTTTTTAAGAAGATTATTCTGTTCATCAAGGCGGCATTTATCAAATGTAAAAGATGTGAAATTGTTAAATATTTCTGAAAAAAGTTAAATAACTGCTTTCTTATAGTCTGTAGCTTCAAATTAAATTATTACTATAGTAATTTTCAATAATAATTTTGGATAATAATAATAATAATAATAAAAATAAAAAAAATAATAATAATAATAATAATTAATATTAGAGTGATTTCCAAAGGCTCATGTGACAGAAGACTGGAGTAACGCAGCTGAAAAATCATCTTAAAAATCACTGGAAAGAATTATTAAATTAAATTATAAACTACTTTTGAGCAGTTATTTTACAGTGCAAAAATATTTCACAATTTTACATTAAGTACTGTATTTTTGGTTAAATAAATGCAGCTTCGGGGAGAAGGATAAGCTTATTTTTAATACATTTAAAAATCCTACTGAGCCCAAACTTTTGACCGGTATAGTGTATATATTGACAAACATTTTACAGAAATAAATATTGTCAGGCATATTTAAAACAAGAAACATCGTATATGACATATTAAACAAATGTATTTAGAGACCACTTGTGCAGTCCCCGAACACAATATTAGTCATTTTACATGTTCATAGTTGTTGGCATTCCTATCTCCAGATTTAACTTATTTGTCAGCAAGACATTTCATAATCATTTAAAATAACACATTTTGTATGATCATGTAATCTTTTATGAAAAATAACAAGTAAATTTGAGAAGAAATGTATTTTATCTTACATGTTAGACAATGAAAATGAGACATTATTATCACCCACATATTGACATTTTATTTTGTTATGAAACATTTAAGTAATGTAGTTACATTTATCATTCTTTCTATATAAAATCACACATTTAATTCCTCCCCTTTGACCTGAATATGTTCTCAAACATTATATTGTCTCATATACAGCTTTTAAGGGTACACTGTAAAAGTGCAGTTTAGCATAATGTTTCTCA